GAGGCAATCAGCGGCAATGAACGGGCTTTGGGCTGCAAGATGCAAACACATGACACTGACTGTACACAATTTCACTGAAACATGTTGAACATGTGAAATTTGAATCTCAAGTGAATGCATGCCTCGCAATCCCATTTGCCAAAACGTGCGCTGATTCGATTTCACAGCCGCATGTACCAAAAAGACAATCTTACATTAAATTAGTTTTAGACACTACTCAAGTGCGGCTGCTGGTGGTGGCACGTGGCAAGTTGACACGTGGCAAATGGCCACTGCCACCACAGCTCTAATTGGCTCCGTCTGCTGCAACTTTGGCTATCATCGCAGTATGCCCTGGTCCCAAAGCCATGCTTTCTCGTTGCCTCCGTCAAAGAAAACCTGTCTCTCGACTGTCACTTGGTTCATTGTCTGTCTGTCTGTCTGTTTAAAACATCAGCCCCATTGATAGCCGAGTTGCTGATAGCGTTCATCAACCAAGCGTCAAATGAGTCGGTGTCATCTTTGGGAATCTTGTACAGCAGCCGACTCCTGCCGATCAGCAAAGGCAATGCGTCACTTGTCACTTGTCAAATGTCACGCGTCACTTGTCAAATGTCTCGCGTCACTAGTGGAGCCAAGTAGCAATATTTTGAGCTTGGTGACAAATGGCAATGGTGTCAAGTTGGAAGCGACGGATGGTGACACATTGTAGTAGGCGTAGATCTCTTCCCTAAGTTAAAAATGCATGCCACTGACAAATCACAAATGACAAATGACTGACTGACATAATCTAACTTGCCATCGAGATGCAACACCTCATCATCCTGGAGCCAGTTCATCGGGCCACGTGGCGAAGGTGGCCGTGGTTCCTCTGGCGACTCTGGCGCATCTGGCTCGTCACCATCATGTGTCACATCGGCAGGATTGTCAGGTGCCACCTGGTCCTGGTTCTGGTCCTGCTGCTCCACATTGACATCATCCTGCCGTGTGTCATCATGCCAATTGGCATGTGACGCATGTGACTCCCAGCCACTTGACCAGTCGCCAGACCACCAGCCGCCGGACCAGCTGTGCCACCAATCATCACCACGCCAAGGCCACGCATGTGGCATGTTCTCAGGAGGAGGTGGTCCTGGTGGTGGCCCTGGAACCCTCAACCTTTTCCTCCAAGGGGCGTTGGGAATGTCAGCCTGGTCACCTGGCACGTAGTCACCCGGCACGTAACTGGATTCCTGGTGACTGGATGCCTGCTGGCTGGATGCCTGGTCCACTGGGCTGGGTTGGCCACCTGTCACCTCACTGCATGGCGCCGATGCCTGTGCTGGAGCTGCCTGTGCTGGAGGTGGCTGTGCTGGAGCTGCCTGTGAGGGAGCTGCCCGTGCTGGAGCTGCCTGTGATGGACGAGGTGGCTGTGCTGGAGCTGGCGGTGCTGGTGGCTGTGCTGGAGCTGCCTGCGCCGGAGTTGCAACAGATGCCTTGCACAGCACGCATTTAAGTCATCAATGGTGACATGTGACATGTGACAATATTGAACCAACCGAACCGTATAATCGGTTGAGACAAGATGCCATTTGCGCAGGTGGCACAGAATCCTGCATCTCGATCAGCGGAATCACATGCTGATATTTCCTTGGAAGATGGGACATCAACAGCGATGAACAACAATGGCAGCAATGCGTGCGATGCGTCACATCATAGCTGGCGAGGCACCGGTGCAGGTTCCATGAGTCTACAAAGATCTCCAACGCCTTGATGCTGACATTCTCCAAACTTCCAGCGGCATTGGCCCACATGGCAGGTGGCAAACATCACAGCTGAGCCTTCTCCCTTAGCCGAATGACAAATCGAAATCGAGTCACAATTTACCCAAGGAATCCTCACGCAACAGGACCAAAGCAGAATCAGTTTAATTGAGCTATGCTTCAGTGTCTCCTGTTCATTGTAGAAAGCGTGCATGCCAACGCACATCTGTGAAAATTGACGCTCGGAAACCAACTGCTGGTACCCAATGAGAACATGGCAGCCAAAAGCCTTAGTTGAAGCACATTGTAAACAATTTTAATATTGAATCTCAGATGGCTCAATCATGTGTCATCATGCCTCACCCCTCGAATAGAGTCCAGGCACTTTCAAAATGGCATATACCACAGTGGCGGTGCATGGAGCACGATGCCAGCCAGACGAACAGCAGCACCTTGACAGCACATGTTAGCACAGTTTAGCAACACCTGGCCACCTGTCACGTGTCTCTTGACAGCACATTTTAACACAGATTAGCAACACCTGGCCACCTGTCACGTGTCAATCGCTGCAGTCAAGACTCCGCACAACCCGGGTCGGGAAGCACAAAATGTCCTCGATGACATTGAGGAAGTCAGGATGTGACATCACCTCCCTCATGGTTGCAGTGGTGACACCGCTTTCACGTGAGCAAAACTCCTGTGACCTCAGTCAATGCAAATGATCATGTGACATAAAACATTGAAATTTGAAATATGTGACATCTTACGTGCGCAAACTCAAATGCAAGCGGGTGGCATTTTGGACGTGTGCAACAAGTGCGCAAGGCGGTGTTCCCAACGTTCGGACTCCTTGAAGCCGAGGGCCAAATCCAGATCAGCCACCGTGTGGATATGGCAAGAGTTGATCGTGCAGCCAATCTGGCACATGGCAAAATGAGCTAAGAGTTCTGTATATGAAAACGCACATTCAAAGACTCAAAGATGAAACACTCAGACTTAGCAACATCCCCAGCATGAGCCTGGTTCAGGCACTTGTCACTTGCGCCATATGCCACAACCAGGATGGGTTGCGAGGACCAGGCCACTGACGTACCTTTTGGCGTGACGACGGTCTTGGTCTCCCACGCCTTGCCCCAGTCCACCTCAGCAGCAAAGTATGACAATGGTGTGACAAATGACACATGACAAATCAGTTGACGCGCAAGCCAATTTGAAACATCAGTCGAGACGCAGTGCTGGGATCTTGCCATGGGCTGTTTGGCACTGGCACATGGCGATTGGCAAATGCAGCAGGAATGTGACTATCGTCAACCTGAGGTGGTACATCATTCCAATAGTCCTCATCCCATATGCTACTTGGATGGGCCGGCTTGTCGGAGGGAGGCTGCGACGGTGTCACACCTCAGCTGCTAAAAAGACACGACAAGCAAGGAGCCACATGTCATTTTACAATAATAAGTAGTTTGACACAGCGACACACACACAGCACATGATTTATTCCAGGAGTCTGTCTGAGTGCATTCTCAACACCCTTCAACATGTAGCCAGACTTGTCAGTTGGCTCAGCTCTCTTGAAGGCAGCCCTTGGCAAGGCGAAAATTCAAAAACATTCAATGAGTTGTGAGCATGAGCCGGTTCAGATGTCCACAGCGCTGCCAAGACACACCAAATTCACAGCAGCCTTTTTATCTGCCAAATGAAGCAAATAAAGTGCCTGAGATCAAGAGGGTTGAGCAAGTGACACATGACACATGATTCAAACATGACACATGACACATGACAAATGATCAAGGGGGTTAAACTTCGGCAAAGGCACCCACACGCACTTCCTGAGTTCAATCAAGTTCATGCTCGCAAACACAACCCGAACACAGTCACAAAAGCACCCAGTGCAATCGAGCATCTTCTCCGTGCACACGGAGGTGTCAATCCCCTCGTCCTCCAGGATCTCTTCAGCACGCGATGGCTGATCGTACTCGTCCATTCACGATGGCAATTGTATGATATGTGACATGTGACTCGGCATGTGACATGGCATGTGTCATGTGTTGGAATCATGTGACATGTGACTGTGACGCCTCATGTGTCAACTTGATCCAAGAATATCATTGAAAGGCAGCTCAACTGTCAACTGTCACCATGACACATGTTTCTCACTTGTCACATGTTTGCAAGTTTAAAATGCTTGACAAGTGATTGCACAAAATGACTCGATCTCAATCTCGCCTTCTCTGACATAGTCCTTGAAGAAAGCACCCGGTCGGACCTCAACAGTGTGACATGTGGCATGTGACAATGTCAATTGAATGAAACACTCCCGAATCTACCACTAATGCAATCTTCTGACTGACTCTTTCATTGTCAAGTGACAAGTGGCTCTAGACTCGAATCAGAATGCATGAAACTGAGGCATATGGCACATGGCATGTGATCCTGGGCAGCTGACCAAGACATGAAGACAGCCTCAAGTCAAACGGAGCCCACGATTTCAACAGGAAACATGACTTCACATGACACATGACACTGACAATTCATGCAATGGCAAATGAATGACTCTAACTCTGATTAAAAATTATGTCCTACCCCCCCTCTCACTGTGGACCGCACCAAATCCTGACAGACAAACTCCTGATTTCAGGAGTTTGTCTGTCAGGTTCCACCTATCACGTGATTTTAATTTGAGCCGAAATTCTACAGTAAAGGGCGAGCTGTTGATAGGTAAAAAGATTGCAGAAATACAAAAAAATAAAAAATCCCTCAAACGTCCACCCAGTTTTGTAGTACTGTAAGACCCAGCCATAGTGTCCTCTTCTCAACCGTTTGCTGAGTGATCCAATCCAACCGGGTTACCTGCTTACTGCGGTGGTTGCCCAGTCAAAACCGTGGTTTCCCACATGGTTCAGCCCGCAGTTTCCACCCTTACCCGACAAAGCTGGTCAATCAGTGTGGCCAAAGCCTGCCAAGACAGCCAAGCAACGACTCGTGCGCAGGGCACGGCATTTTTTCGGGTCATTTGAAGGCCTTGTCCCGGTGGACAGATCTGTGGCCTTAACAAACACCCTAAAGTCTTGAAACATCAGCATCTCTTGGAAAAGGTTCAAGGCGGAGCAAGATACTTCAAACCAACATCTTGACATCACCGTTGGTCTGTAATCGTGATTCACCTCAGAAGATCCATCGTAGTGGAGCCTTCCGGACATGCACCAGTGCCTGCACCTTCCAGCAAGTCCATGGCTATTGCCGTAGACACAATCTCAATCTTCACGGCTTTGCGATCCAATTGAGGACATGGCCTGAAACTCTGGAGGTTCTCAGCTGTCTTCTATTTAGGGCTGGGACCAATGGGTCTTTTGAGGATGATCCTTGGCTCTCCCAAGCGGTTCAGTTTCAATCGGTTCAATGTTAATTTTTTTTGAAACATAGAGCAAACATGTGGAATGGCAATCTTTACATTGCATCTGGAAGATCCCATTGTTCAATTGCACATATGCCTTCAACGGCTGGAGACCCGAGATGTGTTCATATAAATATACAGTATATATATGGTGTACAAATGTTATGCCGATACTGTTTTTTGAAATGTAGCAGTCCCGCCCATGGGCCTGGTTTTGCTACCTCGACGCCCATCAGTGAAGAAACCCGAACTCTTGGGGCTCCTCATCTCTTCGATGGGCGCTGCGGATTGTTCTCCAAGTGAGCTTTCCTCCTCGTTGAGAAGTAGAGAAGCGCCGTGCGTCGGAAAGCTGCGTTCGCTGATGTCTGTCGATTCGCTTTTGTCTGCAGGTGAGCAGTGCTAGCTACATGCGATCGCTGCGCTTCATTGTTTGTTGTGGTTGGCTGCAAAGCGACTTGGGCAGGACAAGAACCGAAAAAATACACTTCACAAACCCATGAAATCTGGTGTTAACCTGGCTTCGGACAAGAACTAAATGAGGCTAGCTCTTTACGTTACCGAAGATTAGTCACAGCCTGACAACGCCACAAAAAGCAGGTACGTGCAGCTGATCAGGCCGCATATCCTGAGGTCGCCGTGGAGAGCTTCGTTGGGCACAGCTCCATGGGCCTCCTGTGCCCCCTGCTGAAGCTGTACAATGAGATGAATTGACATTTCAAGAAATTAGTGGTAAAAGTGTGTGGTTCCCTTAGAGCAGTGTCAGTTGTGGCAATCCCCTCTACTAATTCAACACCCGATTAGAGCGCTGGAGCCTGAAACCTGTCAACGGCCATGTGCACAACGGAAAGGGGGCTGGGTCATATGATTTAAATCATCAACATGCGCACGCAGGTACGTTTTCAGCCCTCACCAGTGGCCTCTTCGGTGGCCATCCACCACTGGTGAGGGGGATGGCCCCCTGCTCTGCACATGACTAAAAGCTCCTTGGAAACAGGAGTTGACACACACAGTAAGCCGTCATTCGGCGCACGCTCTTTTTTGTTCTGCGGGGTGCGGCGGGGAAGAAGTGCGTTGACTAAATGAGCCTGAAAGTTAACCTAACAAGCCTGAAGGAAAGAAACAAACAAACGAAAAAGAACAAAGAAAAGAAAGGAAAGGGTGCAGGGGGTGTGGGCAGGGCGTGCACTTACTAAACAAGCCTGAAGGAAAGCCCACGCAAACGAAAAAGGCAAGGAACGAAAGGGTGCGAGGGGTGTGGGGTGGGGGGGAAGGGGGTCGCAGGCCCGAAGGCCTTTGACGAGAAGCCGTAACCGGCGCACACTCGACTAAAAGGCTTCAGTTACACCTAAAAAGGGCAGCAGCAGGAAAGAAAGAGCCGAAAAAAGATTACTTAGCGGCAGCTCCTAAAGCCGGCCTATGAATACTTAGCAGATCTTAGCAGCATGTCATGTCATTCTCTGAAAGGATCTCAGGAGGCCCTGCGGCATGGGATCAGCACTTTCAAGAAAAAGCGCGAAGCCCACGAAGTTCACGAGCAAGCTGATTGATCCGTGAAGGTTCACCCTTAAGGGCATGTGCAAGACACGCTCCTCGCTGGGAATCACACCACAGCCGTCAGTGGGACTCTGTGGCGAAACACACTTGGATAAGGGCTCGCAAAAGCACTATCAGTTGTGGCAATCCCCTCTAGTGATTACAATACCGGATTATAAAGCGCTGGAGCCTGAAACTTGTCAACAGCCATGTGCACAACGGAAAGGTGGCTGGGTCACAAATAGTATGATTCCAATCATCAACATGCGAATGCAGGTACGTTTTCAGCCCTCACCCATGGCCTCTTCGGTGACTGGTGAGGGGGAACCCCCTGCTCTGTACATGATGAACAATTCCTTGGCGAAAGGTCCAGGAAAGTGTAGGTGTTTTAACAAAATTGTTGTCGCACTTGACTGCGGAAAGCGCACAGCGGCAAAGCGGCTGCAGGTCAGCGGCGTGGGAAAAGGTTTGGGGGAAAGTATCGTGGAACCACCATGGAAGCAAACAAAGAAAAGTGGAGTCACAGCTTGTAGAAAAGTTTCTCGCAGGTACACACGGGTGATCAATCCGTGCTTCCCACTCCAAGGCATAGCTTCGTTGCACTGAGTTTGCCAAGGAGTGCTCAGTGCCCCTGCTTGGTAGTACAATTGGTAGGAAGTAACCCTTGGAGACAAGGGGTGACACACACACGGTGCCGCTTTGCGGCGCTGGTGCGAAGAGCCTGAATAGTTACCTAAAAAGCCTTAGAAACAAAAGAAAGAAACACAGAAAGAGCAGCGCTAAGAGGGCAAAAGAGAAAGGTAGGAGTAGAAAAAGTGAATACTTAGCCCTTGACTGGGGTAGGGAAACGAGCCTCAAGAGCAACCTAAAAAGCCTGAGAGAAAGCCCTAAGAAACGACCAAAAGCGCAAGAAAGAAAGCGACGGGGGGCAGGGAGGTGTATGTACATGTGTGTGTCCGTGTGTGTGTATGAATACTTAGCACTCTAAAATTACTGATTACTTAGCGGAAGTGACGTAAATGCAATAGTTAGGGAGCGGGACTTTAGTCTTAGACCGCCCGGGTAGAAAAGACTAGAACAAGGACAACAAAGGGAAAGGCACCGACACACAAGTGTGTCGAGTACCATTTCCCTGTGTTACCCTAATTAGGTAGGGAGTAGAACTCGGTGGGGGGGGGGTTGGGAAACCTGCGTTGAATTCCATTTTTTAGCCCGGCGGCTGTGTTGTCCGTGAAAGCCCGGCGGCTCCAGATTCTGACAATTCCGTGGTGAGACTAAGGCTGTTAAGAGAATTCACGATGAAAAGACGATGAATCTGTAACACGATTTCCGGCATGAGAACGGCGCCTCCTTGCGGAGGATCACATCCAGCACCCAAGTGGGCGGTTCACACTCTGACATTGGTTTGCTGTTAACTCAATTCCCAGGTGAAAAAAGGTGAGAGAACTGCATGGCGAAAGGTCCAGGAAAGTGTAGGTGTTTTAACAAAATTGTTGTCGCACTTGACTGCGGAAAGCGCACAGCGGCAAAGCGGCTGCAGGTCAGCGGCGTGGGAAAAGGTTTGGGGGAAAGTATCGTGGAACCACCATGGAAGCAAACAAAAAAAAGTGGAGTCACAGCTTGTAGAAAAAATTCTCGCAGGTACACACGGGTGATCAATCCGTGCTTCCCACTCCAAGGCATAGCTTCGTTGCACTGAGTTTGCCAAGGAGTGCTCAGTGCCCCTGCTTGGTAGTACAATTGGTAGGAAGTAACCCTTGGAGTGACACACACACCCAAAATAAGAAACACAAACACACTCGCACATCGCCGAAACTCCAAAGGGTCTCCTCCTGACGTTCCCGTTGTCGAGCGATGATCGCTGCCATGTGCTTGCCATGCCGCGACCGCCTCTTGGGCACCTCCTGCACGGCTGCCGCGCTGTACCAACGGCAGCGGTGGGGGTGGCCCTGGCGCTTCTGAGGCACCTGCAACCGGCGTGGAGAGCTGGACGAGTTGCTAGACCTGGAGCCCTTGAGGTCAAAGGTCTTGCTGAGAGCCTCAAGTGCCAAATCGGTCAAGGGAGTCGCTTGAGGCTCATGTTGCATCATGTTGCATTGAAGCACAGCGATTGCTTTATGAATGTCCATGACATGAACAGTAGTCTCAGTAGCATGCTGTCAAAGGTAGTTGGCCCATGTTGGGAAGAAGTGACTTTATGAAACAATTTGGCGATCACTCCAGAGCGAGACATTCAGAACCCATAGCAAAAACAACAAAAAAAAATAAAAAAAATAGAACCGTTTGTCGAAACTCGACACTCTGCTAATCTGTTTTGACAGCAAGAGCAACCATGCATTGACGTCATCATCAGTACCATGGTAAACACTCCTGTGGCTGGTTGAAACGCCCTGCCTCAAGATCCGTACCTTCAAAGACCGGCACGTTGGTGTCCAGTTCTTGCTGAACTTTCTGTAGCATGCGATCAACGCGATATTGCTGCTTCATATTTTGGTAGTAGGAAATCATCAACCTGGCACACTTCGACTACATTAGCAACAACCTTCCAAACATAGGTCTGTCTCTGCAGCTCTGGCTCTGACTTCCTAAATTCCTCAAACCCCAAAAAGCAAAGAGATGGGAGGAATCGAATCAAATATCGCCAGGTCAGGTCGATGAACGCCCAGCCCAACAACCAGTTGGATGAAGAGTCAATGTTCAGGATTGATGAAAAATGAAGGTCTGATGCACCTGTTCTGACGCCATGAAATCGTCCAAGTGACTCAAACATCCGTTGGTGCTTCGGACCGTCCTGCTCCGTGACGGGCAGGTTTTGCAAGGCTTCTTCTGACAGGTATCCTCAACGTTTGATTGGCCAGAATTGCCAAACTTGCTGAATCTGATTGACAAACATATAGTTGTTCCGATATTGGTCGGACGCAGGCTGGGAGGATGGCTGAGACATGCTGAGACATTCTTTACGTTATTGATTCACGATGAACAAAGTCATGACAATTCCCAACTCACAACTGGAGAGACTTGGCCAAAGAGCAATCTCTTGTAGGTATGATCGTGTCAAGTTGTAATTTCTACTTTTTCGAGGACTAAAGACCCGGCGCTTCCGGAAACCACAAACCAGGAACCACCAAATGCTTTCAGGTCTGGCCAAGTATTAATAGCATGCTTGAAAATTGTATAAAAGCTTTAGCTTAATCTCTGTCTAAGAAGCGGAAGAGCTTCTGTGGCAAAGCTTCAGATGCTGAAGAGGTCCCGTCGGAGCCCTTCGAGGTTCGAGTCGCGGTGGCCACCAGCAGCAAGTCCTCGAGTGTTTGATGATTCGGATGATGCTTTTACATTCTCCACCCGGCCTTGGGTTCCCATAAAGCCTTGAGTCTGGAATACCTCGCTCAGTCCAGTATTCTCTCTCTATATATACTATATACATACTACACACCTTTTTCTTTACTTATTTTGTTTTTTGCGTAATTCTTTATGTTCCTTCTTTCTGTCTTTAGACATTTAGAGTTTAGGCATCTTTTTTGTTATTCTTGATATGTTCGTTGTTTCTCTGAAAGAAGAATACATTAAAACGGTCTGGAATGCCTATGATAGCCTCACTGCTTACAAGAATGCTTAGTGGTTCAGGCCTTGATTAATTGCCTATTACTGCAAGCAAACACATTTCAGTTTTGGACAACCCCAAAATATCTGTGGCACACATTGGCACACTCCTTCGTTATTTTGAGTATGCGCTGCCCGTGTAGCTCATGTTGGTTGCAAGAAACCAGAAACATGACATGCAAGAATAGCATTGCAGTGAAGCCTTCGTGCTTCCAACTTCGATGCAGCGCAGCATAAATGACAAACAATCCATCAAAACTAGTAACTAGTGCAGTCACAAGTGGCGGTCGCGTCGACCAGCCACAATTGGCTCCTTTTGTCTTTGTAGAAGGTGAATTTGCCAGACACCAACTCCAGGTTGCAATAGTATGCCAAGCGCCTGGATTGAAAGGTGAATTGGTGAAAATGCTCCGCTGCATGCCATGAGGACCCCTCACCAAAGCCCTAGGAAATAAGCAAAACAGTTTCTGCTACAAATCCACAGCAGGAGGCTGGGCCAACAAGTTGGGCACAGCAGAGATCTTGTTCCGATCACGAACCGAGTCCAGAAATGTGTAGCGCTCGAAGTGGTTGTTGATGATGTCCTCCAAGCGTGTATGTACCTGGTTGCGGGTTGCGAGGCAAAGCTTCAGATGCAAAGGCAGGGTGGGCAAGTTGTTGTAAAACAAATCGAAGAACATAATGAAACAACATCCAGTGAAGTTTCCTATTTCAGACTTGCAACTACCTACTAACGGATAGGCCTCGCATTTTTACCAGCCTAGGGGTGATAACGGTCATGTCAAATTCACATCCAACTTATGACACCCGTTATCAATCGCAAGTCTTGATATACGTTTCAGTGATATCTTGACAAACATTTGCATATCTCGGCATTAGTTGATAGGAACCGCGAGTAGACTGGACCAGGAATCGAATTGCTCACCAAGTTTCATCGACACCGGGCGACCGGCGACTTTTGGTACCACAAAATCTATAGCTTCTCTGAATGGGTCAACACTCTTAATATGTCCCTGCAGCCCCAGCATAAAACGAAAATAGAAAGGACTTATGGTTCAAGAATGTTCAAGACTAGGCACGGCTCCTTTGACGTCAGAATGGATGGCATCATAGTCGTACGTTATAAACTTCCTTGGGACAACGATGACATGGTAAGGCTCCTTGTTGCACAATACACTGGTGTTTGTTTCCCCCTTGTGCACAGCAGTTTAACCTGTTCAGGTCCCAAACTGCAACTAACCCCTGGACCACTCGCCTTGATGTACCACTGTACAAACCAGTGTATATATATATTATAAGTTCAAGTAATATATATATATTATAAGTTCAAGGAGAGTCTTCATCCGCAAGCAACCGACTTGGAATAGGAAAGAAACACTAAATTTTGACTTCAACACCATGGGTCATGCTAAGCACCACGACGCTCCAGGCTAAGCATGCTAAGCGTCTCAGAGTTCCAAAAGCTCGCCTGCAGGAGCCTGGTGCCTTCAGGCCATCCAAGCCCTCGGGTTCCTGTCAAAAGCGTGGAGTTTTTTTCGGACTCTCAAAGAAGAGTCCAAACAAAGGTAAACGGTTTAAGGGGCCCCCATCGGCCCCTGATGCCCACTGATCTTCTTAAAGGAGCCCTTGCCTTCCTTTCTCTGACAGACCTGTCATTCGCACGGTTCTTGTTCAACTCTGTCTTGCCCATGAATTATGCAGTCAATTCATTCTGCCACTCAACTTGGCAAAATCAAGCTGTTGCGTGAGAATTCGTCAGGCGCAGAAAATGCACGCAGAACATCACCTTCGCAAAACTGTTGCAACCCCATGTAGAAGTTGCGCAAATGCAGGGATCTTGAAAGGCTACTTGTTGTTGCCTGCGATCGCGTATATCAACCAGGCCATGCCATAGTAGAACTTAGGATATGCGCGAACCCTGCCGCACAAGGTCATGTTGCAGAAGAGAGTTCTTGCGGTTTTCTAGCTAAGCGAACCTTGCACCAGCGTGCTTTGAAAGGACTTGGCACTTGCAAAACATAATGGGCTTCCCTTCAATGTGCTCAAAAGACCTACTATTAAGATCATTGTGCTTGCCACAGCCTTAAGACTTGAACAATCGCACATCTTTCTGGGCCAAGATGCTTCTCTTAGCGAACTGAAGCAAACAACCGTCACACAGGTTGGTTCAAAGTTCGATCCGAAAGGGTGTCGACGATTAGCCCTTTTTCAAGGACCTAGTCTTAGACCTTGCTTGACCTGACCTTTTCGGAGCAATAACCGCGCATATCCCGAAGTACTTCCCTCAAACGTCTGTCAAACAATACTTGGGCCAGCCTGAGGCCTTCTTCTCACTATAAAAATGTTGTACTCTGAAGCAAAACAATCAAGAAACCCTCTCCTGCAAGGCGTTCTGCGACATCACCTTCTGGCAGCTGCTGATGCTGTTCTTCCACCCATAACCTCCAGAAATTCTTGCGCAATGTCAGGGGACTCTTCATGACCACGGTAGCCCGTGGCTTCCTCAGTCGATTGTCGCTAGCTTTGATTGGCTGGACATACTTCCAGGTATACAGTGGGCCTGCTTGTCTGCTTCACCACAACAGTTGTGTTGGCTGAGTCTAGATACAAGTCTATCTGAAGTTGGACATCTGCACAGGGATCGGCTCCTAGACTTGCTTCTGTGTTCGATTCCATCAGAACATCTCCAAGTGATGAGACTCTCACATGTTGCCGTCCAATTACTGTATTGCTGTATGTTGCTACACCAGGCGAGAGGAGTACCTCTCTCTTCGCACTTCCTTGCACAACCATGAGAAAGGCGGTTGCATAATAATTATGCGAATATATAGTTGGATACATACTTGTATATATATATATATATTATATATATATTAATATATCTTATACATATATGTCAATGTACATATGTTGCTTCAAACGTAAGTAAGAAGTGTGTCTCACTTGAATGACACCATAGCTTGCAGTGCCTTCTCACCTAAATGAACCTTCTGACAATTCTGTATTCAACCGCTTCTAGTCTCCCTTGCAAGGCAGCTCAACCTGGCCCTTGACATGATCCCAGCATCCGAAGTGATGGTGTTTTGTGCATCTCACTTACTTCGCTGCTGCGTGAGCAACGCCGGGAGTAACTTTGCTCCATCTCGGCCTGCGCAGATTTGATGGAACGGCTTGATATCTGGAAAGTGTTCCCTACGGACCTCAGGGAAGGTGATGAAGGCCGTGACTGGTCCATTTGGGCACCTGTATACCCAGGCACTCGGCTGTACGTCGTCATGTGCAGCAATTGATCATAAATAGACACCTGCACTGTTGTGACTTACTACTAGGCATTGGAAAAAGTAACCTCAAAATCTCGAAGCACCATGGGCACACTGTTTAAGCATCAGTCTTCTCACAGAGATGATATAAAACTATTTTGTTAAAAAACAACAACAACTATTTTTGCTGAGCACGCCCACATGAACATAGGTGCACAACATGCTTTGCCAACGTTGAATGCATGTGTTGATGTGGAAGGAACCACCATGGGCACACCCATTCCCAGTTTTATTGTCCTTGTTAGTTCACCTGCTTTCGCTTACAGGATATAATGCCCACATGCAGAAGCCTCCTGTAAACTACAATAACTACACCAGTAGCCAATAAGTCGGAGTATTAAGTCAAACATGTCCGGGTGAAGTCATCAATCAATGGGAATCGGCACAGCCCGTCAGTAAAGTCATCACATTTGCTAGACATCACCAAAAAAATCCTACAACCCCATGGCTTTACGGGGAATTGTTGGATCCATGGTGCTGGATGCGCACCATTTCAAGACAACTGTACTCAAGCTGGTGCGACTTAACACAGTTACACTTACCTAGTATTGGAGTTCTGATGCAGCTTTGGTGGTGAGGTTGCACGCTCTCCACTCCGCTATCATGCTCCACTGTAACTGTAATTCATAGGGAAGGAGATACAATGCGATGGCCTCCAACCTAGAAGCAATCAATATGAGTCAACGCAGTACTGCTCAATAAAACGGACACGGCTTCTGATCATACCCTGCCTGCCAAGCAATATCCGATTCCTGCGGAGTTGGTTGCGAGCATGTAAGATCATGTAAGAAAATGTCCCCTTTGTCAAGTCAGAATTTGCCTGAATAGCGCTAGTTCAAGCAAGCATGCTACTCATTCAAACTTGCTTCATTATGAATTACTCGCACTCAGACCGATGAATTCAGGTCCTTGCGTTGCTTCAGGATCTGTTCCATGCCTGGAGGCTGTTGAAAGACCCACACAGAAGGCCTTCCCATTATCCCTGTTTGCAATGCGGTCGAACTGCTGCACACTGCCGTACGTGTCTATTTAAGCGCATGCCGTTCGGCCAAACTTAAATTTCTCATGAGATGACGTGCAGCTGAAATACAGTGGTAAACCACGTGCGGCTGCTTCAAAGCACGGACGGAGGCTCGCAAAAAGCCAGCGCAGTCGGTGAAGAACAAGCAGTGAGGTTTGTCTGCATGGAACAGAATCATCTCCTTGACCAAAGGTTGAATGGATCCGTAATTCAGCCAGCCAACACAGGCGCAAACATACGCGAACCATAGCAGCCAAGAATTAAACTATATGATTTGAGGCAAAAAAAGCTCTGGGGGCTGGAGGTCCCAACACTTCTTTCACCAAAACTCAAGGTGCCTGATCAAACGGAAAAAACATATCAACATAAGCGAACATAAGTCAACATACATGTCAAGCGGCTGGCACCAGCAGCTGTATGGGTGCAGGTGGACTGCCTTGCTTCCAGTCGATTTTGTGCTCTGAACCGTGCCATGTTGGATGCTCTTGTCCGAAATCTGCCACCCGCTCCTGCACCAAAAGGCATGTTCATTCATCTTCACAAAAGCCTCTCTCTCTGACATATCTTCACAAAGTCTCGCCGTGCGAAAAGCTCCCGTGTTTTACTTCCAAGCGGCCAACAGCCATGCAAAGTCGAAGGGTCCGAGGCATGCATCCCGCAAAGAAGAGACAAGATCCTCTGACATCTTCCGGCACGACTCACATCAAAGTCAATCCATGGCAAGGCGTCGAAAGTGCGCATTTCTAGCATGGAACGGAACTTGAGACACTATATAACCATTGTGGTATTGTATGAGTATATAAGTACAACGTGAGCAAGTGGTTTTGTATGTTTGGTTCGGTGGTCCAGTAGAACAAGTGCGTATGCTCATGGGATTCTCAGTGTCACACGCAGCCTCAAAGCCATCAGAAGGCGGAAGCAAGATGTTAAAGCAACTCAATAATGGTTTCTCTTTCATCAGAACAGCATAGAACAGCATGACAAAGGCATCAAATATCAAATGACCGGGCATTGACAGGAACCACGCCCTTCTCCTATACTTAATTAAGTAAGGGAAAAGTTCCTACCAGTAGCTACTAAGCTACTTGGACGCTACTACATATGGACGCAGGATAGCTAACGCTTCAAGGAAGCTCGCCCCCTTCCTTGCAGAAGCGCTCACACGAATGATGAGCTACTATATAGTAGTTTCTTGTTCCTAGTAGCGATGCCCTTTGTTACTAGTAGCTTCTTGTTCCTAGTAGTAAGGCCAGGAGCTACTAGTAGCGATGCCCCTTGTTGCTGCGCGACGCTCCGCAACGCTGCGCGGCTGTGCTTCCGCCTCCGAGGCATTCCGCGCTAGCTGCGCGGCCACCGAGCCGCGGGCGTCGCGCTTCACCACGGCTTCGGGGTAAGCCTCGCAACGAACAAACACAGAACGGTACAATCATTGCAGCTTCACAAAGCGGAACAACCAGAGCTGAATGTTAGTTGGGGAAACTGTGAAGTCACTGGGACCTGAGAGATGTCCCAGAGATGTCCCTGACATTCGCCAACTTGAGCACGTGATTCCAATTGCTCTGACCGTGCACTTGATGGGCTCTTTGAGTCGGCCAAAAGCATACAGTAGTGACTGTCGCAATCCGCTCTTCACCTTCAACAGCAGCTCCACGACCTCTTTGGGTGCATTGTGCTCCGCAGCCTCACTTGACATCCTTCAGCATGTATCAACACATCAAGGCTGTTCATAGACTCTGCTGTGAAGACCACTCAGGTCAACGCCCAATGCAATGGAAGGGCCCCCTCTTTGTCAGCTTCTCTGATACCATTTGGACATCGAGCCTCAGCGGTTCACATTAAAGAATCATGTGAAGCTGCTCTAATGCGGAAACTTTTGTTGATCTGATTGCCTCCTTCCGGAGCACAACCTACCAGAAACATTGCAATTATCCGCCGACCCTGCTGAGATCCGCTGAGACAGCAGGGGGAGCGCGTCAGAGAAGGTATATCCGAGTTCTGGCGACACCGCCTCCGTCAGGTCTGTGCTGGGCTGTCCGAGGCTGCTCTGGGAAGCTGTTTCCTACTTGGATGACCGCCCTGGTTAGTAACTGTTACTAAGACTTATAT